CCTATTGGGATCAAATGGCAGAGAAGGGATGGTTTTCAGAGCCCAGCACGTCCCCACTGATGGTGCTATTTTACCAGGACTTGCTACCTTGATCTTAGATTTCGTTCTCATCTTCAAAGAATTCATCTAAGATTCAATGTGGTCCCCACACTAGCTATTATACTTCAGCATCACCTGGGAACTTGGTAGAAATGCAAATTCTTAGGTCCCCAACTCAGTCCTACTGACTCAGAAACTCTGGAAATAGTACTCAGCAATCTGCATTGTAATAAGCCTTCCAGGAGATTCTGATGTTTTCTTAAGTTGAGAGTCTCCACAATGGATCAATCTACCTAAGTATAACAATAGGTGATTTGAATGAATTTAGTATTTCTCACATATAGGTAAGTAACTGCACATAAAATAGGTTCAGAAATCAATTTTGCTATGTAAGAGAAATTGTCTTAGCATTACTCTTCTGATGAGAATAGGGTGAAGACTTCCTGGGTCTTTTGTAAGTGTACATTTTTTTCTTTCTTCAAATCATCTAACCTTGACCAGATAGAAAATGCCTATTTGGTCTTCTTGAGCAGCTTAGCTGTCTCTTGCTGTTTCTACTTCACCTGATCTGATGTATTGACTGTACCTTCCTGCCTACTTTGGAGGTAGGTACAGGTGCGTAGCTTCTATGAAAATTCAATATTTTTCTTCTTTTAAAATCCTTTCTGACTGTAAACAATTTTTCTGGAACTTCCTTTTGCCTCCTGAGCTCAGTGTTTCTCTGGTACTCCTATGATCAGGTTTTGAAAAGCAGAAATACTTTTTTTTATTTTAAAAAAAAATTTTTAACCTGGCCACATAGAGTCCATATTGAAAAGAATGTATATCTAAGGATAGATCGGAGAAGGCAGTTGATTACTATAATGTATCTGCAACCACCATGGGCTTTTTATCTTCTGCCTCTTTTGGTCATGGTAGGATGTCCCTTCAGGAACTGAGTAATTATGGAGAAAGAGAGAGAGAGAAAGAAAGAGAGAGAAGGGAAGGGGAGGGGAGGGGAGGGGAGGGGAGGGGAGGGGAGGGGAGGGGAGGGGAGGGGAGGGGAGGGGAGGGGAGGGGAGGGGAGGGGAGGGGAGGGGAGGGGAGGGGAGGGAAGGGAAGGGAAGGGAAGGGAAGGGAAGGGAAGGGAAGGGAAGGGAAGGGAAGGGAAGGGAAGGGAAGGGAAGGGAAGGGAGAGGAAGGGAGAGGAAGGGAGGAGATACCCAAAGCAAAGAGAGGAAACAAATTGAGGCAAAACAACTAACCTGCCATCACCATCTAAAAAAGCACACACAGTGATCTAGATAGAAGCATTTGTTAGTACAAGAATTTTGTTATATAGATTTAGATAACTATATTGATTTGATAATTCCACAGTTGCATAATAATACTCTTTTTACTTTACCATGAGTGTATTTTTCCTAATTGTATTTAATGGTGACTTTCCACTTTATTGTTGTAATGTTCGCCAAATGCTTCTTTATTTAATTTAATGTGTTAACACAGGAGGCTTAGTTTCATTTGTCACTAAATTTCTTTGTCTATCCAATTAGTTTTATAGATCATCTATGAAAACCTGTTAGATTACCCATAAATTTCCAGTGCAAATTGTTTCCTGTTCTTTAAACAGAACTCAGACTCTTGCCTGAAATGTTTTCAACTCATTACATATTTAGTTTAAATACTTGATGTACTCATAGCCTCACACATATAATTATTTAAAATCATCCCTTAAACCCTGAGAAAGTCAAAGAATATTGTATTTACATCTATTTTTAAAAGTATGTCTTTATTTCTGTCATGCTTTTTCCAAAAATAACTTGAGATGGCTTACAATAAAATAATTGCATGCTCTCCAGTTATAGTGGCTCAGATGGTTAGAACATCGTTTTATGCACATAAACATTGTAGGTTTGATTCCCAGTCAAGGTGCATGCATGACTTGTCCTGAAATCCCTGGTTGGGGCAAGGGAGTGATGTTTCTCTTCTCTGTTTCTCCTTCCTACTATATCCCTCCCTTTTTATAACCCTTTCTCCCTCCCTCTCTCTTTTCCTTCCTCTCTCTAAGCACATCCTCCTCTGATGAGGGTAAATCAATCAATCAATCTATCTATCTATCTATCTATCTATCTATCTATCTATCTATCTATCTATCATCTATCTATCTATCTATCTATCTATCTATCTATCTATCTATCTATCTATCTATCTATCTATAAGCCTAAGCAACTGCTGACTGGACAACTGGCAGGTATGTAGGATACACACTGACCACCAGGGGGTAGACACTCAACTCAAGAACTGCTGAGCAACAACAACTTTGCAGAGTGCCCCTCCAGGACCCCTCTAGAGATATTGAACTGCTGGTTTCAGCCTGATCTCCGCAGGTCAGGCCAAGGGACCCCACTGCACGAATCCATACACCAGGCCATTAGTAAATAAATAAATGCCAAAAGTTAATAAAAGGAAAATGAAACACCATACAGAATTGGAAGACTCTACACTGAAATTTGAATTTGGGTCTCAGTTCTAGGCAAGTAGCATAAATTTTTGGTTTAAAACTAGTCCAAGTATGCACTTAAATTTAATGGAAGGAAAGCTAATATGATTTAGACAAAATCAAGGTATAAAATTTATCTATTACTAACTTCAGTTTATGAGTAATTAATTGGTGCATCTGTTTCATGACAATTGCTTTACCATATATAATGTTCATTCTTAAATAAATTTGTGTTTGTTTTGAAATGACAGGTCTCACAGCTTAGTTTATGTTCATTGTTTTTGCTACCACTTCCAAGGGAGGATTATAAAGGGTAAATAAAATAGGGTTTCCCTTTCTTTCCAGTACTTCTGTGATTAAAAGTTATATCAAGGACTAGTGTTTGACTGGAAATTAGATTTTCCAAAGTGCAGGGAAAAGTGAAGGAATAAACTGTCCTAATCTACTGATTTCACACACACCACTCTGTTTACTAATTCCATATTGACCAAAGGGCATATGTAATCCTCCATAACTCACAGGAACTTTGGAAATAAGAATGGTATAAAAATTATTTCATAAAATACATATGTATTTTGAAAATATGCAAAGTCATTCCAAAGGATTTGTGGCATATTCAGTTACTTAATGAACTCTAAAGTTAGTTTGAGAAGATAATTATACTCAAAGAACCAAAATTAATTGAATAACATGCTAAAATATTTGTCAATAAACTTCATAACAAGGATTTCATATTCAAACTAGTGGCCCAGTGCATGAAAATCATGCATGGTGGGGGTTCACTCAGCCAAGCCTGCACCCTCTATGATTGGGGACCCCTTGGGGGATGTCTAACCACTGCTTTAGATGGTCAGACATCCCTCTCACAATCTGGGACTGCTAGCTCCTAACAACTCACCTGCCTGCCTGCCTGATTGTCCCTAACTGCCTCTGCCTGCCTGCCTGATTGTCCCTAACTGCCCTCCTTTGCCAGCCAAATCTCACCCCCAACTGCCCTCCCCTGCTGGCCTGGTTGCCCCCAACTGCAATCCCCTGCTGGCCTGACCTTGCCTCCAATGGCCCTCTCCTGCCGACCTAATCTTGCTCCCAACTGCTCTCCCTGCCAGTCTGATCTTGCTCTCAACTGCCCTCCCCTGCCAGTCTGATTGCCCCTACCTGTCTCTGCCTTGGCCCCCACCAACATGGCTTTGTCAGGAAGGAAGTCGGACATCTGGAAAATGGCTGGTCCGCCCATTCTAAGTAGCATATTACTCTTTTATTAATATAGATTACAGAGGATAGTATTGCTTAAATGTGAGTGTAGCCATTTTCAGGAGGAGATGCTCTAGACAGACAAAAATACATAATCCCTATATCTGGACTAATAGCCATCCATATGCACTCTACTGCCAAACCAGTCATTAAAAAATTGAACTGCTTTCTTACACCTTACACCAAACAGCTGTTGCCCTTAAAACCCCTACTCAGCCCTCAACTTAGATTCTACCTTCAAAGTTCACCCAGATTAGGTTCTGATAGGTTGGTTTCTATTCCAGTCAGTGTCAAAAGCTCTGCCACCTAGGCAGCCATTGGCTCCTGACACTACACCCAGATTTGGTTCTGATTGGCTGGTTTTTATGCCAGTCAGTGTCTCCAGCCTATATCTGGGCCTGATAAGAGAGGAGAGGCTGATCAACGCCTCCCCAGGCTTCTGGTGAGGTCAGGAGAGAAAGGCAGATGCCACGGAGGCTGTGGATCAGACCCTAGTTCTCTCGCCAAGCCTAAACAGCAGCTGCGCCTCTCTCTCTCTCTTCAGCCTCCCCAGTAGCCTGGGGTGGCTGATCATCAGCCCTCCCTCTCCTTCTCTCTGAGAGATCAGCAGTTCATCGCAATTGCCAGTCCCCACCCACATGAGCCTGCTGTGCGCTCAGCTTGGTATTCAGTCATCCATTGGGTCATTTTGGATGCTACGGATCCTGGCATATATATATGAAAAATGTAAAAATTGCAGAAATATGTAATATTGCAAGTTTATCCAAAGAATTACAGTATTTCAGAATGGGAAGGCTTTTAGCCATGCTCATCTTCTCTTTGGTATTCCTGGCATGTGATATTTCACTTGAATTCTACTAGAAATAAAAAGTAAATTCACTATATTCAAGAGCCATACCATTCGCTGTTTTGTTAAATATAACAAGTAATTTCCATATGTTGATCATTGTTTTATCTTTTGAATAAAGCCTCCTTTTTTTTACTTGGCAGTTCTTCAAATATTTAAGGTACCTTTAAATTGCTATATTGTTTATTCTACATTTGAATTTTATATTTTAACTTCAAGCTTCTTGGGAAGATTATTGGGATTTTAATTTTATACTTTGGTCCTTTGGGGCACAGTTACAATATTTTCTTTGCAAATAAGAAAATACATGTAAAAGAATGTTGAATTGGAGTGTTTTATAATATGTAGCCTAGGCTTATTCTGTGTTCTTTCTTGTTTTAAAAGGTTTTGAAAACAGAGGTAGAAAATAAAAGGGAAAACATGAACAAACTCCGGTCACTTTACCAAGATCTTCTTGCAACATTGAAATATACATCAGTAACACAAAAAATGGAAGCACGGCTGAACAACTTTGCCCAGCGCTGGGATAATTTAGTCCAAAAACTTGAAAAGAGTTCAGCACAGGTTAGTGATTCTAATTATCCTGAAATAAATGTTCCTTGCTATTTTTGAAATCTAATGCATGAAGAGAACAATACTATAACCCTACAAAGAATGCCATTGGGTTAGTCCTTGCAAAATACTTAGTTGAATAAAAACATGGTTCTCATGGATGTTTTGATATTAGAGAATGTAGGAGGGGTGAGTGATAATTGACTGAACTAATTTACCGCCTAAGATGTAAAGCTGCCACTTCAGCAGGAATGGAGATCTGAGTGACTTAGAGCAGTTGGACAAAATGCTAGGGAACTGTGTTTTCAAAGTAACCCCAAATCATTGATTCATAGAACCATGAGGAAGGAAATTAATTGTCCAAGGAATAGGTATAGGTGATAGGTGTAGCCTAGGGCACAAATCTTTTGATTTCACTAAAGACATCTTTGTACTAGAGCAAGTGAGAATCTAATCATTGGACTTTTTGCCAGAGATAGTTGATTCATAAAATAATTAATGTGGCTTAGTTACATTCAATACACATTGGCTGTAGATTAGGAAAACATCTAAGTTATACTTGCAGTGTTATAATTGGACTTTATAGTTAAAAGTTGAAACTAAAAGTTTTGGTAGTTTATATAATAAAATGAGGTATTTTAAAAGTGCAAACTTACTATCTTATGTTGTCAGATAGTGGAATCATGGAAAGTTTTCAAAATATTAACATTATATATAACAGTATTTAACATATTTTGCCATACTGTTTTACATTATAGAGACCAACTTTTATCAATTGGTCACAATTCATAGCTCAATATACCATGCATGCATCTCTATTACAGCAGTGATCACATTCAATAGCTTTAGAGGCATGTATTTACTCTGTTGTGAGACAGAGCAGAGATTTTGTTTTCTTGAGATTTGACATGTGGTAGGTTGCACTTACAAAATACTCATGGAAAGATTAAATGAAGGTTGAAGTATTGCTTCTAAAAATACAACTTAAGAAAATATGATCAGGAAAAATATATGATTTTCAATCATAGTTAAGCTTCCTTTTAAAATCAAATTCATATTTAAATTTGGAAAGAATATAAATTACAATCATTTTCTGTGCAATCATTAGGCAATAATAAAAATTTCATTTGTTTTCCATTATATATTTTATCAGTAACTTGATCTAATAGTGATTTTACTACCAGAATATGATTCCTCTTATTATAAGTGACCTGGCCATGGCTACTTTGCAGTGTGATTGGCATCTATGTAATAAATATGTGAGGCATTAGGAAATTTGATACTGAATTTAAATTTGAAACTGAATTAATTTACTGAATTTATTGGAGTGACATTGTTTAATAAAATTATATAGGTTTAAGAAGTACAATTATATAATACGTTATCTGTGTATTGTATTGTGTGTTTACCACACCAATTCAAGTCTCCTTACATCACCACTTATCTCCTCTTTATCCTATTCTACCTCCCTCAAACCCGTTTCCCTTCTGGTATGTATCCATTGATGCCATAGATTATTGCTGCTCGAAAATCATTATAATGTTGCCATGTTATGAGAAAATATCATTATTTGATAAAGTTGTTTTGAAATATATCCCTTTAAATGAATATGTTTATGAGGATGTAAATTAACAATAGGTCATGTTCTCCTTCACTTGAAATAGTTTTTATTTTATCTTTAAATTTATTTCAGTTGATTTCAGAGAGGAAGGGAGAGGGAGAGAGAGATTGAAACATCAATGATGAGAGAGAATCATTGATTGGTTGTCTCTTGCATACCCCATATGGGATCGAGCCCACAACTGGGGCATGTGCCCTGACCAGGGATCAAACTGTGACCTCCTGGTTCACAGGTTGTGCTCAATCACTGAGCCATACCAGCCAGGCACAATAGTTTTCAAACTTAAGTCTGCATAATATTCACCTGGGAAACTAATTAAAATGTATAGTCCTAGAATCTATGTTGAGAAAATCTCATTGAACAGGCCAGTAGTATGCATATAGTCTTTTATATAGTCTACTGGCCATTTTTTTAAAAAGAAACATTGAATTAACAAGATAATGAATCATGGGCCAATTTCACATTGTGATTTTATACAATGCTGCCTGAAATAAGGAGAATGGAGTTCTTTCTAACAATGCAGTAGTGAAATATGCTCATTTCCTTGGAATGCCACTACTTTCTGAAGAGGTTGGACAACTCATCAAAATATTATGAATTTATTATGCCAGATAGTAAAAAAAAATTAGAAGTCTTATTTTTAATGGTCTAGAAATTATGAAATCACCACCCAGGGCAACTTATTTAACCTCTTATTTTTTAACTTTTCAAAATCTGCAATAAAGCAGAACTTGCTCTGGTTTGTTTATTTTTTTTATAAAATCATGTCCAATATACATTACAACATGTATCTGATGAGGATAAAGTAAAGCAATAGACATGAAAGCATTTGGAGGGGGATGTGTTCTGGATATGCAAAGTATACTGTTTAGTGAGTCTGGAGGGCATATTATGGTTCACTATGATTATTTTAATTTTCAAACAGTTGTTCACTTCTATACAAGATCAAAAGCAGATAAATGTATTTATTAGGCAAGTTGCTTCCTAGAACACTAACCTTGAACTTCTCTTAAGCTCATTTCAGTTTTTACTCATTAGCTTTTATTTAAAAAATGCATTATCAGAGCCCCAATCGCAATCATTGCTGGAGGTATTGAGGCTCTTAGGAAGAAGAAAAAAATGTAGCTAACCAGGGAAAGAGGGATTAAAAGGAGATAGAATAAGCAAAAAATATTATCTTATAACTAACAAAGCATTGATTTTTTTACTGAAGGTCAGATTGAACATGGTGAAAATCTATACTAAAAAAAAATGGTAATATGCTAATTAAACCAGGGCAACAGGACATCTTCTGTATGTCCAACTTCCTTTTTTTTTGTTTTTTATTATTATTTTTTAAATAAATCTTTATTGTTCATATTATTACAAATGTTCCTCATTCTCCCCCCCCCCATTGTTCCCTTCCACCAGGTTCCCACCCCACCCACTGCCCTTTCCCCATTCCCCATTGTCCTCATCCTTAGGTGCACAGTTTATGTTCAGTCTTTTCCCACATTCCCCATCTCCCCTTTTCCCCAAGAATCGTCAGTTCACTCCCTTTCCATACCTCTTATTCTATTATATTCAACAGTTAATATGTTCATCAGATTTTTTTTTAATTTCCTTGGTTTTTAGATTCACTTGTTGATAGTTACATATTTGTTGTTCATAATTTTTACCTTTATTTACTTTCTCTTCCGAAAGAACCCCCTTCAGCAATTCATATAATTCTGGTTTGGTGTTGATGAACTCCTTTAGCTTTTTTTTATTAGTGAAGCTCTTTATCTGGCCTTCAATTCTGAGTGATAGCTTTGCTGGGTAGATTATCTTTGGCTGTAGGTTCTTACTATTCATCACCTTGAATATTTCTTGCCATTCACGTCTGGCCTGCATGGTTTCTGTTGAGAAATCAGCTGACAATCGTATAGGTGCTCCTTTATAGGTAACTACCTGCTTTGCTCTTGCTGCTTTTAATATTCTCTCTTTGTCTTTTGCTCTTGGAATTTTAATTATGATGTGTGTTGGTGTGGTCCTCTTTGGATTCCTTTTGTTTGGAGTTCTGTGCGCTTCCTGGACTTGTAAGTCTAATTCTTTCACCAGGTGGGGGAAGTTTTCTGTCACTATTTCTTTCAGTATGTTTTCGATATCTTGCTCTCTCTCTCATCTTCTGGGACCCCCATAATTCTGATGTTGGTTCACTTGAAATTGTCCCAGAGGTTTCGTACATTATCTTCAACTTTCTGGATTCTCTTGTCTTCTTGCTTCTGTGAAGGAGTGTCTTCTGGCTCTTTATGTTCCAAATCTTTGACTTGATTCTTGTGATCTTCCATTCTGTTTTTAGGACTCTGTATAATACTTTTTATTTCAGACAATGTATTCTTTATTTCTTGTTGATCCCTTATTAGTTCTTGTTGATCCCTTATTAGTTCTTGTTCATTCCTTTTCATCTCCTCATAGGTCTTATCGACATTTTCTAGGAAATTCTTGAAAAACCTTATAAGCGTGGTTTTGAACTCTATATCCAGTCTCTTCTTTTCCTCCATTTCTTTTGTTTGTGATCTATTTCCTTGTCTTAGCATTTTCATAGCTTCCCTGAGTTGGTAGGGTGGCTTTGTGTGCTAAGGTGTCCTATATAGTTCAGTGAGTCAGCCTCCCAGTTACCTGAGGTGGACAGACTTGGTGTAGCCCTTTGTGGGATGTGTGTGCCGTTCTGTTGTTAAGCCTTGCTTGTTGTTGGTATCACTGGGAAGCGTTGATCTCCAAGCCAATTGGCTATGAGGATCAGAAGTGTCTCAGCTAGAAGGGTCTCTATATTCTGCTTGGATAGGTGGAGTCTCAGGGTGGCACAGCCAAGCTTTGTTGAGTCCAGCACAATTGGTTGCAGGCATGCGCACCTCTTTGGTATAGGAGCAGACAAGCTTTAGATTCCTGTATGCCCCTCCCTAGGAGAGTCCTATTGGCAGCGAATGAGGAAGCTAGCCACTGGAAGGGCCTCTGTGCTCTGCTTGGATGGGGCGGAGTCTCTGGTGGTGCAGACAAGCTTTATTCAGCCCCTCCCTACGAGGGTCTGGTTTCTGAGTCCCGCAGTAATGGCTGCTGGCTTCACACAGGTCCGAGAGATCCCTGCCCACTGCCCGACAGTCTGGCCTCACCCTGTCTGGGGCCATCTATCAGCGCAATAGGATGGTTCTGTTTTCCTCCCGAACAAGAAAGCCAGCCGTGCATTAGCTGTCCGCCCTCTCTGCGCGCAGGGAGTAAGCCAGTAGCGAACTCGGCCCGCCCTCTCTGCACTCCGCAAGCCAGCAGCGAACTCTGCGGCCGCTTTTTCGCACGCATAGTTCTTCGTACCTTCACAGTTCCTGAGGTTTAGCGTGCCTTCTCTCTCCTTCCCAGATGGTAGAGCTTCCCCTCA